GCCGGCCGTAAACTGCAGACTGGGGGCAATCTATGTGTCTTGTGCACAATAGGGGCTTAATTAAAAGCTACCGAGTAATAAACCACATGGAATCTCATTAAAAAATTCCACAAGGGTGTTTTAGTGCGTCGCATGGGAGTTCGTTAATGCAACTAAAGTGTTCGCCTGCCGTTTAGAGATGTTTGTAGTTGCGTGAGCTAACGTTGAAAGCTGAAATCAGACTCCGAACCGAATGCAGTTTACACGCATAATATTTTAGACTGTATGTTAGCGATTTTTTTCATACTTTTCGTAAATTCTTTCCCGTTTTACCCTTTGGGTACGGAGCTTTTAATATTCTATTGTCGGTTCACTTTTATTTATGTTTTAGATGTAATTTTAATTTTTTATTCAAGTGAGATACAATAGTTAAATTTTACAGAAATACGTATTAAACTTTCCTTGACAGCATAATTTGGATTTTTTTCTTAGAACATATTATTAACATAATTTTATTAACGCCATTGCGGGCTAGATATGATAATACCAATGTATACAAATAATACAAAGGATATATTAAACCGATAACAACGTAAATTCAAGATGAACGAGTGAAGAAATACGCCACAAAGTGAGTTGAATATAGTTGATGCTCTTTTGTGTTAAACTATTTATTTTGATCACTACGTGTTTGGTTTCATTGCTCCATTGGATGCCAGAAAAATACATTTGTATTCTTTAACTTTTTATTGAATTGCTTTTGTTATTTATTTTTTGTACCATTCGATAATTTTTTATAGGGTACAATATGATGACAGATGTTTACAACACACACATGGTCCACAAACATTTTTTTTAATGGAATGCTGTGGTACATTTTAATACGATCGGCAAAAAAGTTTTCAAAACTAAATATCAGCGTAACGTGTACAATATAGCACACTCGCTAAATGGAAATACTCTCATAGTAATATCAGTGGAATTTTTAATATCACACGGCCTACTTACTCTAGCAGAATAAAGGGCCTTCTCTCACAAAGAGATTGTTCGGAGATTGATCTGTTACAATGTTTCACTAGGCCTATAAAGTGGGAATACTTTGGGGTATGGAAACATTATTGACATTCATACCTACCATAGTCTATAAAAACCGCCCAAGTGCAAGTCGGACTCTCGCACGAAGGGTTCCATACCATTATGTATAAAAAGGCCAAAAAACATGACTGTTGTATGGGAGCCCCACTTATTATGATCAATATTTTTATAATGTTTTTAGTATTTGTTGTTATAGGGGGTAACAGAAATACATCAGCTGTGAACATTTCAACTGTCTAACTATCACGGTTGATGAGATAGAGCCTGGTGACAGACGAACAGACAGACAGACAAACAGCGGAAACAGCAACGGGACCCTATTACTAAGATAGGGTCCCGTTTTACCTTTTGGGGACGGAACCCTAAAAACTGCCGGCTTATGATACAGTACGTTCCTGGTGGCTTTTAATATATAAATACAGATAAAAATATTAATCTTTTTCAAAAACAAACTTAAGTAGCGTGGCATTAACGACGTAATTATTAAAACTGAAAATATGAACCTCTTCCGTACAGACAGACATAGACGTTCAGTGTTTCGACGAAAATAATGGGAAGGTGGGACGAGAATAATGAGAAGGCTGCTCACTTCGCAGATAACGAGGAACGGAGCCTGTTCCTTTCACAGCATCCGTCATCATTAGTGCGCGGCTTCGGGCGCCGAGTTTTCATTAAGACGCCAATGTTTCAGATGACAAAGCAGCCGTGTTAGGAGTCGTACATTCGCGTGCATTGGCGCACATCATGACTATAGCGCTGAGTATAAGTATCAGTAACCCGAGCTCACTTACAACGGAGCCTACTTACGTGCAATCTTACAACGTCTCTGTTAATTCCATTCAGAATGGATCGCGAGCGCTGTAATATATAAAGGATAGCAGTTCGGGAAGTATAAATAAAAACTTATAAATTATATTATTGCATATTTTCTTTTGGAATTAGACACGAGACAAGTTATTAAATTGATGAACAAAAGTGAAATTTAAAGTAAAATATAAACGCATTAATAAAAAAGTAACTTTTACTCGTTTTTCGAAGTAATCTCAGGTTATGTAAAAAACTCGTAAAAAGAGACGCGTGTGCCAGGCGTGTGCTTGTTTGTTTTCTTTCTTTATCGTGAAGAGAAAACAGCCGGGAAAAGTCCAAATTCATTCGCCTCGCTTCTTTTGAAAAAAGTGGGGCATCAGCGTTAACGTGCTCAAAGGCTTTTGCAACCCTGGGTTTACCTAACCTCTCATACAGATACAGAATACAGAAAACAGCTACTTTCCTGATTGCATTTCTTGGGGTTTAACGGAAAAGGGAAATCCTTTTATGTCGTGGAAGATTAGGTACGTGATATTTTTAACATAGTGCTGTTTTTATTGAAGTATTTTTTCAAGAAGTTTCTATGTATTAAAAGCATCTTTTCAAATAACGTAAGAGTTCCAAGACCAGAACACTAGAATATGTACTTTATATCCATAAACTGTATTCGCTTCACTTGCAATTTGTAAAATAATCTTAAGTATATCCATACATATTTTATGTATGTTCTGTAATTTTGAACTTCCAATAAAATTACGAGATTAAGTAAATTATGAAATTAAGTAAAATTAAACACACAAAAAAGGAATACAGATTGTTAAATAGTATTATCATGATGGTATCCCGTTGCAAAACGTATGCGTTTACTATATCTGTGTATCTACCGAAGAACCTAGAGTAGAGCAAAAGTAAATGGTCTCTATTCTTCAGCATAAAGAATCCATTGATCTTGAATGAGTGCAACGAGGAATGATTAATGATCACTCCGAATCCATTCATTAACTCAGATCGCTTTGAATTGTTTATTATTTTGTAATATATAATTTTTTGTCTATTTTTCTTATGTAAGTTCAAATGTGATGAAATGCATAGTATATTGAGGCGCTTAAGATATTTTCACTACGCTGTTTAACTAAGGAATGCCTGTAGATTAATATTTATTCTGTCATTTAGAAATTATAGTTTCTTTTATTTATGAACTCAAAAACATCCAAATTACACATTTTTCTCTCTTGTATGGCTCATAAACCAGTGACTTGGGATATAAATCATGCTTTTGTATTAGATATGTGAAAGGTATTAAAGCATATATGTGATCAATAAAAATATTAAAACTTATTTAATTTCATGCGGCTACATGTTTTTTAAAATATCATATGAAATTTGCAGGCAGTAAGTACATAGAATTCTGCGAGCATTCTTGCGCTTTAAAACTGTATACGTGGGTTTGTAAACTATCTCGGAACACTTAGTCAGTACCTTTATTGCCAACGCTGGTATTTACTACTTAGTGAGAGCATGAGTTCTAGTAAATAAGAAAATGCAAACGGAGTCTCTACGCCTGTGTTGAATATAAACAGTGACTTGGGGGTTTTCAAGATTACCTACACTTGAATGTTTTCTTCTCACAATTGTAGTTGCAATGTTAAAGCGGTATTTCATTAAAAAGTTTTTATTAAACTGTTACAATTTGCTCAATAGTACATAAGGACTTATCATCAAAAATGAAGTAAATAGGATTTTATAATATTCGTAACATCGTTAGAGAGTATGAAAAACTTTCCTTTCAGAGCATGAAAATGAAAAAAGGGATTTGCTTGCACGAAGATGCTAGTGGAAAAATGTCTGTATAGTTTTGGTTTTAATGTAAAAAAAAAAAAAAATATTTTTCACATCGCTGCAATGCAACTAAAATATATTGACATCTTCTACATTATAGAGCTCTTAGGGCACTTCGGCACCGGCATAGTTTGACATTTGTGTTATGAGCAATAAGGAGGAAATTCTGCAGAATCTCTTTATATTAATATGATTATACCAAATATATTAATACAAAAATAAACTGTTACTCCGCGGTTTTTATCTATCAAAATTGAACGATAAAAACCGCATTTTAAAATGAACGCAATGATAATTTTTGTGATTTTACGATTGAAAATTAAATTAAATGATAAATGAAAACAATGAATGAAATGGACCACATTTCATTCATTGTTTTACATAAAGCACAATTCTTTTGAAAAATAGAAAACTGTTCAAGCAAAACAGCATAAGGCACCGTTCTTACAAGTATGACTGTAAACAATGACTCACTTACCCTAGGGTTCTGCTCCCCTCGCGACGCCGGGGGTTATTGGAATACTTTATAAGCTTAAATAATTTTAAACTCTCCAGAATAAAATTTATCTCCGATTCTCGTCCAATTTGGCGTCGATATAGCCGTCCTTTTGTACTAAAGACGGGCTTATGTTGTGAATCATCCCTAAGTCTACGTAGCTTTAAGTGCTAGTTGTGTTCGGTGTGAATAACCTGAACTATATTGATTGCCCAATTTTTTTTACAATATTCCAGTTTGCAATTATGATACACCTAGTAGAACTGATTTTAACGTCAGTGCATGTAAAAATGTCAAAATTATAAAAGAAATTGGGTCGATGAACGGCCCTTGGCTTAAAACATGTTAGTGTTAGAGACATCTAGCGGGGGGAACTAATAGCTTTACACGTGATCCTATTTCACGTTGAACTATGGAACATCATGCTTGCGACTAATTCTATTAATCTACTCTACTTCTTTATTAATAATTCTATTAATATACTCTAAACTCTCGACTAATCTAATAAGTGGTTGCAAGCAAATTTTATTTTTGGCTTGGAATATGAGCGAAGTTTAAGTTTACATCTAAAAAAATGTTATAAATCATATCAATGATGTCATATATATCACATATCAAATTTAATAAACCTTTAATTTTAATTCAATTAAGTACGAATAGTACTATTATATTTTAACATTAAACACTTTAAACTTTTATGTAAGAGCTGTCGAACTATAATATTTTTGTAAAATTTATATATAACTTGTCGGCCGGTTTTGACGAGTTTTGTTGGTGTTTCTAGACGAAACGGTCGCAATAGAGGAATGGAGGGTGGAAGCGGCGTTGTATACAGAGTTGTTGGCCGCACGCGTACCAAAGCAGACTGTGGACAGCAAACCGAGCGACAGCCTCCAGTTCCTCGTCAGGATACCACTTGGAAAAAATACACAGACTCGCCTGGAGTGGGGGCACCGCCTATGGTACGATTTTCAATCAATATGCAAAGGTAGTCTTGTGGCAACACTGTTTCGGTCAAAAGTAATTGTTGAACTGGATTGTTATGTTTTTTTTTTAATGTGAGTGGCGGTTCACCACGGTTCAGTTACGTAATCACCATAAGTTAAATATCCGCCGCCCGTGGACATTTGCAACGCCTGTCGAGTCCTTTCAATAAATTTGATGTGAAAAATTAGTTTTGCATTGGTTTGTACAGTCATGGCTTTGTAGAGTCAAACATTTTTATATGTACTAGATTTATAATAAAAAAAATTTATATCCTCTGCTTTCTCGTATTTGAAAATCGCTTCTATCATTTTAGTGCGTATTACAAGTCGCGTTATGTTAATGCTCGACGTGACGTTTTGCGCGATGTCTGTTCACATGATTGGACAATGCCCTTTTAGAACCAGCCCTCTCAAGCGCCGCCGAGTCCGTCCCACGGGCGCAAGAGCGACCGCCGCACCGGCCACCACTCGCCGCAGCACCACAAACGCGAAAAGCTCACCGCCGCCCAGCAACTTGGCATCGCTCCGCACCCCCAGGTACGGTCGCGCAGAACCGTTTCTAACAGTCATAAAATAGGGCTCCTCCTTTCCTTAGGTACAGTCACTTAGAAATGTTCCTAACCCTCATGAAATAAAACAATGTGTCAACTGTTTTAATCGTAACGGGGTTAATAGAGATGATTTACGAACTTTACTACTTAGGGAGATCCGATGCTACTCCGTTACAACGCCGGTGTCGTCTTCAAGTCGTCATTCATGGAGTCGTCATCGTAATGAATGGAAAGAATGGAATATAAAATAAAGCAAGTCTTTAAAACTAACTTTACTACTTCACTTCTAAGGAAGGATGATTCAATAATTGGACGAAGATATATAACGTAGAGAGATAATGCCTCAAAACAATGCGATAGAGTAAGATAGAGTCGCGCGCGCGTCGTCGATGTACACGTGAATATATAAACAGTATTTTGATGTCTCTGTTATTATTTTCGAGTGTGATGAATCTTGGCCCTCGAATCAAGGATAAAAAAGATATGAAAGAAAAATATTTAGGATAATTATAACTAGTTCAATACATCACCATAACCTGTGCCTTACAAAAATACCGAACACAGCCAAAGTTGCTACGTGGTCTTAAAGCTGTAGGGTAACGCAGCAGTCTTCGCTTTTGAATGAATGGACAGGTGTATCCGCAGAGGTGCCACAACCTCGCAGATGTCCGGCATGAAGTGAGAATGTTATCTATACTTCTGCGTTTCTTCTGATGAGTGACGTAACCGGGGCCCATTTTATTGAAAGGTGACAACGCATTTATAACCCTACGGGTGTTACAAATACGGGCTGCAGTTATATATTGACATCAGGTGAACCGACTTTCCAACTTGTTACATAAAAATAAAACACCAAACAAGGAACGATATAAAGGAACAGGCATGTACCAATTGAAAAAAAAAGGTTTTTTTTATTATCGTAGAAGTATAAAATCGTAAAATTCTAAAGTTTTTTTATAGTGTAATATAACGTAACAAAGATAAAAATTCAAACAGACATGACATTTGATATCATATCACTTCTACCATTAAATATGTTTCGTCCATAATAAAAGTGGAATTCCTTATATTGAGGTAAGAACCTTCTAACCTACTGACACAGGTCGGGTCAGCGACACAGCCTGAGAATAACACTGCAATGCCAACGTCCACTAACGAGATGATACTCATCGACCACTCAGCAATTTCGCATGCGAAACCATTTTCGCAATGCAGCTTAGTTAACCCAGTCTTTGTTTCAGTATGCGGCGCCGAATTCTTCTAGTCAACACTCGTCTAGGAGCGGTGGAGCCCAGGTAATATTAACGTAGATGTTAACATTTTTTTATATATTTATATGATACAGTTAAACTATTATTGCAATTGCGTTAATTTAACGGACGGTCCGCCCTATGACAACGTTTCTTTAACGTAAATACGTAGAAAATGACAAAGTTATAAGCGACATTGGGTTGTTTTGTTAATAATGAAATTAAATATGATAAATTTCGTAATAATGATTAATTTGTAACTAATAATATTGACCACTTGAAAATATCGTATGAAGTAATATACATGTCGAGTTTCAAAATTTGTTAGTTATCTTTTTTCTTGGAAACATAAATACTTGTCCCGTAATGACCTGCGGCGCTGAAGCTCATAGCTTAGCGACTCCGCCACTGAGTATACAAGTCATATTCACGATAATACAATAATTAATACAATTGCCAATTGAGCGGTGGTTTACAAGTTACGTACAAAACCTCGATACTTCACTGCATAGTACAAAACAAAGTCGTCCCGCTGTCTTTCTGTATGATTAGATCTTTAAAACTACGCAACGGATCTTGATGCAGTTTTTTTTTACTAGATAGAGTGATTAAAGAGGATAGTTTATATGTATAATACTTTAAAGTCGTGGGAAGCCTGGGGGGAGGTCGCTAGTAACCGATAAATGTGTTTTCTACAACTCTCCAGATGCAATCTCCCTGTGGTGCGTCGTCGCGACCCTCGAGTGTGTCCAGCGGTGGGAATGGGAGCAGTTGCTCCTCCAGCAAAGCGAAAGTGGCGCAGAACTTTGGCTACGTGAAGAGACAAAATGGCGGACAGCCTCCGCCACCGCCACCCAACGGTCCACCGCAGCACGGGCATGGTGCGAAGTTACCTTAGCATTTTCAGTCTGTGTGTGCCTGTGTGTTTACGCGCGCGTGTTTGTGAGCATGTGGGTGTGATGGACTTGTGCATAAACAAAAAGGAATTACTGAAGGGACATTTATCGACTTTTCTTATTTCATGCCGTTGTGCGCGCGCATCGTAAAATTTCACTCTCATCATTTTTCCCTAATGTACCAAAAGAAGTATAACTTTGAAAAATATTATATATAACAGTAGTAAATCTTTATTTTGGCACTAGTATTTGTGAGAGTGCTATTCAAATTAATTATCTGGGGATGCTCCTGAATAAGATTGTAAGGGAAAATAGATAAATCAGTGTTTTATTTTATTTAAACGAAACATATGTTAATGATATGAATAGTAAAGATTTGTCTTGTCAAAGTTATTTTTGTCCGATTTAAAACTTATTAATATTTTTAGGTGGACGAACAGCCCAAGTGTCTGCTGTCCCTAGAACGAAGGTCAAAGTGTCGGGTGGAACGCAAACATGCACACAAGATCTACAGATACATAGTAAGTTTACTTCCAAAGATCCATAATATTTGGAACAATGTATTAATGGAGCAATTTTATCCTTAATATACTGTGTCCAAGTGTACAAAGTACAAAAAAAAACTGGAAAAAAAATACTTGATTATATGTCTCAGTGGAGGTCAGTTAATATTTTTTGAGTAGTCTTCCTTTTAATGTAATTTTCCTAGCTTCATCTCTTTTCTTATTTCCTTCACTACGTTTATCAAATATACAGCAAAATAATCATACCATATGCTAAGCACCGGCCTCTCAATTTGCTCTTACAACATCAATTTAAAATTACGTATATGAACATAGTCACAATGTCGTTCATCCGACTAATTCGGTAATTTAATCATACCCAAAATTTCACATCTCAGCCTAACAAAAAAGTTCACATTGAATCTTTTGATACTCACGATTTGTACTATGGTTAATATCGAAAGACGTGATTTTATAGAGACTTACTTATTTTTACTCATTTGTAATTACTAAATACACATTTTGTAAGTAGAAATGAAAGTATCTATAAATCTATACGGTGGTAGAGCCACGCAACAGCCTCGGCTGTTGTTGAATGGGCAGGCCCGTCCGGGTTAGTACCACGACCTCACAGAAGACCAGCGGAAAGTGGAAGTATGACATATACTTTCGCGTTTCGTCTGGTGAGTGACGTGGCCGGAGCCCAATTTTCAAAAGGTTGTCAACTCATCTATAACCCTCGAGTGTGGCAGATGTCCATGGGCGGCGGTATTCACTTAACATCAGGTGAACCGTCTGCTCGTTTGACAACTTTTCGCATAAAAAGAAGAAACAAATTATTTTAATAATTTACATTTGTAACGTGTTTCTATTTTTATGTATGTATCGCATTTATTTTACAAATATGATTAATTGTTTTAAAATTACATCACGTGACCATGTAACGTAGAAACGAATTTAAATATAAAACATCCGTATAATTGTTCCAATTATTGATGTGTTGTGTTCACGTAAATATAATAAAATATATTAAGCTGTAGATGTATCTTACATGATTCCTGTAATTGAAACGCAAATGTTTTTTTTTTCTTCATAATATTTTTGTTATTTGGATTGGAACTATTTCATCTTTTCTTTCGTGGGAGAAATTTTCGTTTCTCCCAAATTCGGAATCATTACTCATCGCCAAACGATCTAAGTAATAAACAAATATTGTTTCACTTAGATCTATGGGCTTTACGAATTGATGAATGAATATAGTTTTGTTGTTTATTTTTTGCAGAAAATGGCATCGGGCCTAAGTCGTACTCGCTGGGTGGTACAGCGGCGGCGCAGCTCTCGGCTTCAGTGCGAGAGCGCCTTCTCGGCTCACAATCTCTACCGAAGCCCGGAACTCATGAGTTCGCTGCGCTTTTCCATCATCACAGGTAATTTGTCAATTCGGATCAGACATATGAAATAACCGCTTTCCGGGTGGTCGATTTTACACTAATATAATAAAGCTGTAGAGTTTGTTCATTTGTTTGAACTCGCTAATCTCTGGAAGTACCAAATGAATTTGAAAAAATATTTTTGGAGCCCAATTCTTGAAATACGAACAACTTAAAACCACGCTACGACTTACGGGTACAAAGCAGAAACATATCGAACAGCTAGTTCGATATGTTCGAGCAACCTGAGTTTTCAATCCCCGGTGCTGGCACCTAAGAAATTGTTTGTTTTGGGGTCGCGTGGTGGACTATGCCCTAATATTCTCTGTACAGAGAAGGACTTTGCCCAGCAGTAGGACAAATATATACTTTACTTTTATATAAAATGTCAAAATAAACGTCAGATTAGCACTAGGGTATTTGCAGCTTCGGTTACGGTTATCATTTATTACATTAGTGTGAATTAATAAGTTAGCTCCTAACATGAGCCAAAGTTAGCTATTCAGTTATGGTGAAGGCGTCGATGAATCTCTAAGTTCCAGCCAAAACGTAATAGTGTTATAAAAGCCTAAAAGAACTTTTACTATGTATCAAACATACAATATTATAATAGTTAAAAAGAATTATAATAAAATATTACGTTAATGTTTAGGCCATTGATTATGAATGATATCTGAAATGAGAGATTATACGACTAAAATATTACTGCTAAATCCAACTTAATACCTATTTCTAAGAATTTGAAATATTAATTGTCAACAAAAACAATTTTTTCTTCAATCCGCAGACGCAAGTTTCATTGCCATTAATGAATGAGACAATATATTACGCCATCATAACAATCAAGCTATTTTACAGCGGTCATAGAATTAGATCATCACAACTGATGGTTGGTGAAATCGTAACAAAACAATTAACAGCAAAATTTGTATCCATTAGAATGATTCACGACGATCGTTGAAAACATACATAAATAATTGAATAACTTTCATAAAATAGATTTTCGATAAAGCTCACTAAATTTTGTAAGGTTAAAGTGCCTTCATTATTTTAGTGGATTCTGTGGTATATTGACGTTTATTAAAGTTTCAAATGGTGGCCAATATAATATATATCATTTTTTAACTTACTTTGCATTATTTTCCAATCAATCCATAGCGACAAAATTTCTCTTGAATAAAGAAGTACTCTAAACTAAAAAATTATATAGGAAAAAATAGGTCACCGAATAAACAATTGCTGTTCTAAATTATGAACATTACTTTTAAGTTTAATACCGTTGACGTTGATATCTTCATTTCCAGTGATAAAAAAAAGTTTAACTAGTTTCATGACACGGAGGTAAATAATCCTTATCAGCATAGACTGTTTGTCATGTCAAGGGCAGTTAAGCTCTCATGGGAAATATTAAATTCATTTACATTTTGATGTCGTTCAGTGACGTTTGCGCCGCGTCAAAGTGCATTAACTTGTGCATAGTTTCCTTTTACACTGCAAGTAGTGGAACCAATGGAGTATTAAGATATTTTTTTTCAGGGTGACCCCACGAGGTGGTATGAAAATCAGTGATGGGAGTCTCTCTGATACCCAGACGTATTCCGAAGTGAAGTCAGACTACGGAATACCATATGCGCCATGGCTTCGACATAGGTACGTAATTAATCAAGTATTGTAAATATAAATACCCCCGTATGAATGTGAGTGGTGTGTAAAAAATAACAATATATTTTAAGCAATATCTGTATATCGATAGACATATATGTTCATGGTATATCAATCATCACGTCGTCCCTTGACCGTATCCCGTACGCTTGTTATAACGTGTGTGCATTTTGTGTAATGTACGCAAGTTTTGGAATTAACACAAAGTGTGACACACTATATCTATTGTATCATAAGTACATGCTTACGCAGTCCCCGCGACGTGGCCAGTTGTATTGTCTGTAAAGGATAAGGAAAAAGACAGAAAGAGTCGAAATGCAACTGGCCGGCATGTGTCTCCATCTCTTTCCCCCATTTCAGCAACACATACTCGGCAAGTGGGCGCCTGTCCGAGGGTGAATCAATGGAGTCCCTAACTTCGCTGCACTCGGCGCAGGCGCACAACCACACTTCATCCCCTAACTCACACCACCGCAGCTCACTCACACACAATAAGCTCATCATGCACCGTGAGGCTCAGGGCTCGAGGCTTAACAGGAGCAACAGCATTAGGTGGGTCCGATAGTCCATCCTGTCATTACCATTCCGGAGTTGAGATTTTCAGCGTGGTTGTGGTTTTCAGAGTTGTGTACTAAAATTATTTTTGTAAAATTAATTCAGTGATAACTCATACAATCATCCATTCGAATCGCTTTACTGCTAAATTTATAATTATCTTTATATATAATTTTAAATACGTATAGTAATGTTTACTAAGTATTTGCAAATTGTTATATGTATATAGTATGTAATAAATATAATTTTTTTAAAAATATATTTAATGGGAAACATTTATTTGTTGTATAAAAATTTGTAATTCTATAATTTTATATTATAATGCTAAGGTTTGGTTGTTGATTACATTTTAGCTACCTCAGAGATAGGACATTTCCAAGGTACGCCACAAAATATTGGGAATTTATTCATGTTTTAGCTTCGAGGTGGCACGCTTAAAAGGAAACGTTAATCATTTAACATGCATGTTTACTTCGAACGTGGCACGGCTTGGTATACGACTATTAAATTTTATTTTTATCAATGCTGTTTGGACTGATCACTACGACTTTCTTATTTTCGTCCAATTCGTCCATATTTGATGTGTAACATTTTGGCTCTCAATGACTATTAATATAAAATGCAATGCATATTAAATGCGATGAAAATATAAACTGAAAGGAAAGTTAGCAGAAGTTATAAACAGAAAGGAAAGTTAAATCTAGTTTAAATATTGGGCTGCCAACGCGCATTTAATTTTTAGTATAAATTTAATTATTCGTTAATATATTATCGATAGCATATTTTATATCGTAAAAAAGGAAGGTATAACTTAGATATTTTAGTTCCATCGACTTCCCCGTTGCTAATTTCAATTCTGTGTCTCGTGTAAATAAAAACCTTTCCTATTACAAAAATTTATCTGCGATTTAACCTTATTTAAATGATTACTCGACTCCAACCTTATTCACAAATATTTTGCTCACGACCGAGTTTAGATGTTACACATTAATAACGATTTCCGAAAGAATCGTTTATTTCTTATTTTTTTAAACCCCTGCCGTTCATCATTCGAAACACGACAACGCACTCATATGTTCTTCTTTTGTGTTTATTAAAATTGCTATTTCGAAACGGTTGAGTCGAGCTAATAATGGCTTATGTTGATTATCTGCTAAACGTTTTTTCAATACAGCTGGGAGTCATGATGTAATTTGCTGCCGCTGTGATATTTGGGTTTTTCCATTCCCTAACTGTATTCATTGAGTGTGTCATTTCAGATCTACTAAGTCGGAGAAATTATATCCTTCAATGCTTCAAAGGTCTTCGGAGAGTGACTATGAGCCATATTACTGTTTACCAGTGCAGTATGGACCAGGAGGACAAGGTAATTTTTTAGTGTATTATCTCTTTCTGAAGCTGGTCTTCATGATGCTGCATCAAAAATATCCGAATGACAAATCGTATGACGTTAAGCTTTACTGGATTTGAACTTAAATATTGATTTCTTCGATTTCCATTCGATAAATTGTCGTAAAGGCAATTCACTAAATATTGTTTTAGATGTATAGAAAAATCTAAATAAGATCTAATGTCATACTGGGGTAAAACGATGTTTTTCATTGTTTCATTTTATTCAATAAAACTAATAGAGGAAACTGAAAATCTTTTAAACAGGTTATATTATGAACACTTATAAACGTACATAGTTTAATCCTATTAAACCAATCTAGGAACAAATCGTATTATAAGATTTTACATATACCATGAAGTACCGGTTGTGCGATTTTTTTTTAATTATCTTGTACGTAATTCACACAAGAGTGACAACACATTCGATAAAGTTTATTGCAATCAATTTGCATGTTATAGGTACATTAAATTTAAACACTGAACACCGTAACGTAATTTAGTCGGGAAGCGATACTTTTGTCGACTTTCTAACACTGCAATATTAACGTAACTGCCAAAACGCATACAACGAAATAAATATCCTTTCAATTCATGTAACTGGTGCATGGCGCAATGGTTCGACTAATTCGAACCACATGTTCCATAAATTTGTGTCATTATCTATTAAAACAAGTGCCCAGTTTGTGGCAGTTTGAAGCATTACATCATATTTCATAGATCACAATTTGCTAAAGAACACCGATTCTTGCCAAATGTGATTCTCAAGGTTTGGAAACAATTAAATTCACTATTAGAAATATAAATCCATTATTATATATTACATAGATTGTTCCAAATTAATCGATACTACGAGGGTTGTTTTCTTACCGCAGTCAAACGTTACTTTTGTTTAGATATATTCGAATCATTGTTCTTATTCTGACTGTCGCAGGTCTAAATTATGGTGTGTCGGAACCACCGTCGCCATCTCCCAGATCAGCTTTGAGCCCCACGCATCAGCCAGGCAACGTCATGCACACTCCCAGACATTCGCACCACTATCCGAAGAAAAATGACGAAGGTAAGTTACAAGTAACGTCCGTTTATCAGTTTTGAATACCTCCAGATGTTACGATACATTATTAGGTTACACAAAAACTTCATATCTTGTTAAATACATATAAAAGCTGCATATAATTACTGCTACATTTGTTATTGTTTATGTATAGAATTTGATTAATGGTTATTACTGATAATTACACACAGTTGCAAAGAAGTTGACAAGTTATAGTAATTTACTTTGTATCAGTAATGTGATTTGTGTGTCAGTGGATTTCCTACAGCTGCTTATAGGATTTTATATTATTATATGGTATATGATTAAGAACAACAAAGCTAATAAAACTTCCTAACGGGAATAGGTGAAGATTTACTTAATAAAGTTCTTCTTTAAAACAAAAGCGTGAACAATGAATACTTTATTCTATGCATATTTTGTGTGTGGAAATAGTTGATGTTTTAATACATATGTATGTATATTACAACGTTATGTTTGGTTGTTATTTAGTTCACGGTTCCACCGCATCTCTGGTGTCGACGGCTTCGTCTTTAGCTGCCGGTGCGGGCTCCGAGGAAAGACAGGCTCACGAGGTAAGCTGAAAGTCCTAATTCAAAGCCACCTTAATAAATGCAGGAACTACTGCGAACCAATAATGAAATATAACATTGCTATAATATGAACTTTGAATTTGTTTTGCCACATTTTTCTCTTTGTACGTATTTTTTTATTTAGAAAGTGGACAGTGCAAAATGCAAAATTATGTGTGGTTAAAGGTGCTATTTAGGATCAAACCTTGTAACTGAAGTTACGCAACCGTTCGCCGCAAAGATACACTCAGAGATATTTTTAAAGAGATTAATATACTCACTGTTGCGTCCCAATATATTTATTGTAATATCTTGTACGTTAGACATAATCTTAAATGTTATCTAAAGAATAGTGACAGACATAAATTAAATACTAGAAATAAGGACAAATTAAGTACACCATTGTTTCGTCTAAAAAAAGTAAATAGATCGTTCATGGGGCAAAGTGTGCGCATGTATAATAATAAAATCCCACAATCGGTATTAAGTCTGCCACTAGATGAATTTAAACGCAAAATTAAAAGCGAACTTATGGCTAAGGCATATTATACCATTGCAGAATATCTTGACGACACCAATGTGTAGGGTCCATGCTGTTGATACTCACGTAGGCTAAAATGTCATACTATATTATATTATATTGTAAGCTAATCGTTTTAAAAAGAGCAACTGTTGAGTTTCTTGCCGGTTTCTTCTCAACAGAAACTGCTTTCCGAACCGGTGGTAACTTACGAACGTATAAATTTTTATGTAAAATTTTTGACATTTCATAAGAACGCGCAAGCGTCTATGTGAATAATTATATTTTTGATTTTGATTTTGAAAGATTCGGTATAAAATTTAACGAAAATATCGTACTGTCGTAAATTTTTCCACTACCACAAACAACAGAGTGTGCATTGAGATTATGTGTGTTGATTCTTATTTGTATTTTTTTATATAAAAAGATGGTAAGCGAGCTGGCAGTGTAGTACTTGAAAGTTTGTAATGTTAGAAACGCATTTCTTTCGCAGGTGCGCAAGTTAAGAAGAGAACTAGCTGATGCCAAGGAAAAAGTTCATACATTGACAACTCAACTAACAACTAATGTAAGTAATAGATATAAGGTACTTATTACTTTTCGAATTTTATGTCTCTTGTTACAGTTTGATGTTAGGATGTTTATAATTGTGTGTATCAATACTTTCACGTTATAACTTCTTATATTAATTAAACATATTAAAACAGATGTAGTTTGAAGTTCTTAGTTGATGAGCTTTAATAATATTACCGGTATAAGGCTGTAACCGACGTACCCTAAATCATCATCATCAACATCCTTCTGCCTTTATACCGGCTTGTAGGAGTCGGTACAACATTGGCATTTGGCTAGATTTTTTAGATTTAACGGCCGACCGCCTGCCTGATATCAACCCTCCACAACAACAAACACCTAGATCCGGAACAAATATCGTGTGGTAATCGAACCCATGAAGCCCGGCACCGAAGACAATACCTCAACACAGTTGCTGAGCATCAAATTACCCCAAGTGGAAAACTTAACTTTTCCTGTGCTAGACACTGTTTCAATACGGCATATACCGTAACAGGTGCATAATCAATGATAATTAGGCATTAGTAGTTGTTAACCACTACCAATTATGCAATTGATATAATAGGGTTCAGCAAATCGATTTCTATTTATAATCACACGGAGATTTCATCATTACCTCGTTTAATTACTGCTTCGAGTTATATCCGAGTAGCGCAAAAATAAACGTTTCTCTAGATTGTCTGTCTACGATATTAAGTCAGATTTTTCCGATTTTTCAAAATTCAGGGAAAATTTGTATTGATTTTATTAAATTTTCCACTATATATGATAATATTTTGCGATTATTTTATATCTTGAGCTTATACAAAGATTTTCAACACATTACTTTCATATTGTAGAAGCACACTGTTTTTCGATATTTTACCAAAGACTGTCGTTAGCATAGGTTAGTATGGTAGTAGAGAGTCTTACCATTTCTGCACAGAGTAGAGACAAATTTTCAATTCAAAAGTAGATTAATTCAATAAGTTAGAGAAGTCAGTAATCTGTTATAAGACTATCGTATAGTAGGCTAGATCGATGCGAAAACTAGTGGCGTCATGTGACAATGTAAACTATTCATTAATGTTAGACACTCTCGCTTGCTTGGGTAACGGGAAGGGCCATTAAGGGAGCAGACGTCATGTACCAACGGGTACTAGAATGGAAAATGACGTCGCAAGTACCGCATGTTAAACGAAGCCATTGGCGAGAGATCAGATAATGCGGGTCGAGCCATTCGCACGGCCATGAGACGTGCACCCGCCCGTTCCAGCCATATCGGGCACTAGGAATGTGTGCCGAGCTAACTGCCGCAGTCTACTCAAGAACTGACGTTACAGTACGCTGGTACCGTAACGCCCCTTGCGGCCTTCTTTTTTGCCCTTTCGATAAATGTAGAGTTGAACGCGGGTCACGGAAGCTGAAGACACGTATATCGAGGCTTGACCTTGTACGTTCAACTGCAATACGGTAATGCCTACGTCAATATAAATGGTTATTCATAAATGAAACTGACTACAATAATGATTAGACGCAAGACCACAGTGTAACATGCCAGTTCTTCTAAATTAATGAAACGGTGGTGTTTTTTATCAACTTTTCATTGGAAAAAGCGGTGTTAAGAGATTATCGCCATCGACATCTCAATACTCTTGGTGATGCAACTGCATTACCAATCTTTAAGGCAAAAATACTTCCACTTTAAGCTTATTTGTGCTCGTGGTCCTTTACAAAGACCTCTCTCTTTACAAAGAACCTTTTACTATTTCTTAAGACGACCCAATTAGCTAGAGGACAGTAAAACTGTCTCTAGTGGAGTGGGTTTGCTCCCGAATATTGAAATAATAAAGTGTATATGATATGTATGTATGTATAAAGTAATATATGATATGCATTTATCAACAAAACATTATCAGGTACCTGTAATTAGATATCGTTGTGTATATGTTCCTAAGATTTCTTTTTATTTATTAATACAATAACATCATAAGTAACAGTAGTTAACAAAGTTGTACAAGCCGCGTCGTACTTGACTGGTCTTATCTATATAAAGATCTAAACAGTCTGAAATACAGCCGTAGGCGTCGTTCTTTATTTTAAAACTTTAAATGGTCAAGAAGAACAAACAAGGTGGTAGCTCGAATCGTTAGCAAGCTGCAAACTTACAGAATTGTACTTAGTATTTAAATATTCAATGACGTTACAATAACTGCGAATAAATTCTTACCCCTTATTTGGGTGTTATAGATTGTTATAGCGGTAGAAAATAATATGTTCCGTGTTCAGTTTATGACGTGATCAAATAATATATACTTCAATGCAAGTTTTAAAAGCTTATTCATGAGAGTGACTTTTAGTCACCAGTTATTAATTAGTTATGGCTTGTTAATGACTTAGGCGATTTGTCTGGAGTTGCACAAACAATATGCATCACTTTCCTACACACAATAAAAATACATATCAGTAGGTATCTAATGTTAAACTTTTACGGTGTAAATTGGAAAAAATATTGATTGTTATATCCAATCCGGACTGGTTCATGATTATATTAAATTATTATATAAAACATTAAAATCGTTGACATTCGTAAAATGATTTGATTAAACAACGGAAAAAGTCTTCTAAAATTCTTAAAGTAAGTCAAATGACCCATCGAATAGGTTATCTGTATGTCCGTATGACACATGCAAAGTTGTCTGCTTGCGCATACTTATTTGTTTGTCACTGCAAAATATTGATGTAATCACAATAATTGGAACGCCTATATAAAATATTGTAATGATTTATTATATTTACGGGAATTCAACATAATTTTAAACAATTACCTATAATTAAATATATATAAATGTTTTACTTCCCTGCGTGTCGGTTACAGATTCCGGACGGCATGGTCTAATGTGGTCCCTTTGAGTTCTAATAAAAGCAAATTTACCAGGTTCCGTACCCAAAGGTTAAACGTGACTCTATTACTAAGACTCCGCTGTCTGTCTATCTGTTTGTCTGTCCATCTGTCACCAGGCTGTTTCTCATGAACCATGATAGGTAAACAGTTGAAATTTTCACAGATGATGTATATCTATTGCCGCTATGACAAAAATACTAGAAAAACAGAATAAAGAAATATTTAAGTGGGGTTCCCATAAAACAGACATGATATATCCATATGATGTGCCGTTTTTATAGATAATGGTACAGAACTCTTCGTGCACGATTCCGATTGGCACTTGGCCGGTTTTCTTACACTTTAATGGGATGCCCAAGCTGTTCTTCAAAAGCTCGGGCCTAATTCTTTAATTTCGCTAACTAACGGTGGATAATGAGACGTTAGAGTGTCTCGGCGGCCCATTCGGTACCGCGAGACAAAGAAAAAGCGGGACTTTCAACGAGACAGTCGTCGTTTGCTGCTGTTTTTGTTCCCCTAATTTACTGCACGGTAAAGCGATGCCGCCATAAATTATTCAACACCACGGATATCCATCGTTGTTCTTGCGACGCCATTGTGTTTTAGATCGTTTGTTGTGGACGTATGGGTCAGTGCGGCGAGGCTGTGGCTCGCATGATATCACCGGGGTTTCACTTGTAGCGCCATTGTCTATGCTCCCAAACTTTATTTATATAAGATTTACGAAATACAAACGCACATATAGCGTTTGAGGTTTGATATTTTGTAGTAATTAGTCCTGTTTCATAGTTATGAAGTTAAGAGCGTCGAATACTAATAACACCGATTCACGCATTCACTCCTGTGTTTGGAAGAACCGGCAAGAAACTTTGCGGCAAAATGCGCGTTCTTTCGTAATATAAAATAAAATTTGTAGGACCTCAGTGAAGTCGAGTAAGAATCTTGGCCCTCAATCCTTCGACAATAGAAAAGAACTTCGAAAGATTCTTTCGATACTTTCTTGAAATTAGGTTTGCTTAATTATTGTACTACGTATTAATTATCTTGCTCCATTTTTATGTACATTTCCTCAGTAGTTGTTTACGGCCAATACAAATGTAAGCAAGTTTATAATATGGTGTAGACTATCGATTCCGATCTATCGAATACTTTTAAACAATAAGAATTATTATATTAACAAGAAGTTACTTAATTACCGTACAATAATTATAATTTAGTTTAGCAAAACTTATAACGTGCGTTAAATGGACTTTGGCTTTCAAAATAGGCAATGTATGTCTTTTGGAGGTCGGAATGTGCAATAATTTAACATTATATACTTATGTATTAAAAGAAGATTTACGAAGCTTAGGTGTACACAAAAGATAAACTTTATGTATTCATTGGCGCAGTTGTTAAGCTACTTGGCTTTCACGCCAAAGGTTCAAATTTTCAAGCATTTTTGTCGCCCGTAGATAATTGTTTTGGATTTTTGTTTGTCCATATGGAAATTGAGTATGGGAGACGTACAACACAGGGCGAAGTTATTCTAAAGTAGGGGAAATTTATTGAAAGAAGAACTATAATAATAGTGAGAGTGACTTTAATTGGGGTGGTACATAAATAGTGAACAATTTCTGTAAAATCTTCTCATCTGTATACACTTAAATACATCCAGAGCATGATAATAAAAATAATCATAGCTAGTATACATTTACAAATGAACGTATTATTGTATCAATTGGTCTCAATGGATATTAAATTCAATGCGTCGTCCGTACTTGTCTCATCGGCCTATACTGGCGGTTTTTATTGGGGAGCTGTCAATTTTTGATTGATATCGTGTGTCGATACAGTTATATACAGTTTGGATATACAAAAGACTATTAACCCATTTAATAAATTGTACATTGAATATGCGTAAAGGAAAACCAATGTTACATACCGATGTTATAATTAAATTTGTTAAAAAAATTGATTTAATTGTTTTAAATTTGTTAAAAAACAACATTTTTAACATTTGTTTAAAAATCTGAGATTAATTATTAATACTTTATAAGTAACAACTCCTAACCTTATAACAATGGAACCATTTGAATATACAGATATTTTTCAAAAAAATCACTGCTTATTGTTTATTTCTTTGACGATAAGAAAAAGAAGAGAGAAGAATCCGTTAATCTATTTTAGATACTAAATTATGACAGCCTCTCAGTATTACGCATTAAAACTCCCTTTAAGCGGAAATATTGTTTAAGAATTCAACTGTGGCTTGAGAACGCGGTCAAGATGATTTAATCAATGACTTTGAGAACACGTTTTAGAGTAGTCATCTTACGGCTAATTTATCGAACGCTCCTAACTCAATAACAAACAACGACGCATCAAAAATGATGCGTAAATTTTTTATGTTTTGTCAATATACAAATAGCTCGCTTTTATAGCCACATTCATCTTGGTGGGTGGATAAAATCTGCGCTTCCTAACATTGAAATTTTGAAAATATTTTCAGACAGAACTCAATTAAATAATTTTTAGAGCGGTAACAAACTGTATTTATCGTGTGTATACATAAACTTGCCAATGCTCATACACTGACTCACAATTTAATTAAATACATTTTTTTACTTCTTTTTAAAATATATTAGGTATAGAGCTATGATGTAGGCGGGTTATTAATCAAATGTGGGGCACTCTATATACACAAATATAATGGAGAATTAAGTTCCGGTTTGTTATAGTTCATTAGATCATGCTCAAAACATCTGACGACCTAATTACAAAGACGTTGTTGTACAAACAAATTCTTACATTTGTTTGCGCCGTCTAAACAAAAACCGTACCGTCCCGATGTTTGTATCGCGTATGCGTAGAGATGTTATCATCTGTAACACGAGACCATGCCCCATAAATCCTCAAATGTTCTCTCTGCATTTGCGCAACAAGTGTTTTTGAATACGCCGTTTAATTACGGCGCTGTACATTCATATGACACTGAACATCCATATGACCCTGTACATCCATATGACGCTGTATATCCATATGACTCTGTACATTATCAAATCAAAATGTTCGATTAGCAATTTACCAAATCTATATATTATATAAAAATTGTATGTGTTACATGTTCACCTAAAACTATAGAACCGTTAGCCCAATTAATATGAAACTTAGCACATATCTATAGGACGTCATGACTACTCCGACGATAATAGTTACGTTAGTGCCGGATAGGTGGCGTTGGTGACAGTGATTTTTATCTTTTGAACCATAGGTCGAATTGATATAACGTAAACGTAAGATTTTATAGGTGAAGCTAAACGCACCGGGCACCAGCTAGTTAAATTTTAAAACAAAATGTATAAAGCTGACAATTTTATATTAGTGTCTCCGTGCTCTTGTTACGTGCGTATCGTACACCCTTCACAATTTTGACCCCATCCGCCCGTCACTAATGGACATTATGATTTACTTTTGTTCGGCCCGGCGTCGAACTTTGGCTCCGTTGCGTGACTCGGTTCGATTCATTGTACAATCGCATGCAACAAGACATCTCACGTGTGAGCCTTATACCGCCGTCATAAGATTCACACCGAGAACCTTAACTCCCTGTATATACATGCACGCGATTGTACTATACGATACGATGTCGCGCACAACCCGGCACAAAACCGACTATAATAAACACGGCCAGTATGAAATGAACGCTCACGGGAAGAGGACGCACGCGCGTTCTAACTTTGCCGCTGTGCACGTCCACAAAACAAACTGCTAAATTTCAGTGACAGTATTGTGATAAATGTGATTAGTTCGAAGTGTTATACAGTGTTACAACTAAATTTATACGACATGCGGTACTTACTATTTACGATGCCTCGTTTAATGTTTACGAACTCCCGAAACTTGTTTGATTATAATTTGTTTTTTGTTGCTAGGAGATCCGAGTGTCCTGTTTTTTGGATTTTGATCTAATTTTTGTTTATAATGTTAATGTACTCATTTTTAAACGTTATTTATAGTAAATTGTAATTAACTTTGTACTATTTAAAATACTGAAGTTCTTTCAAAGGTTAGTGTCCCAACGATGTTAGTATTTTTTTTTTTTTTTTTTTTTTTTGTTGGTTATGTACGTTTCCTAAGAGCAGGTAAACGCAGCCCCATTCTTAATAACGGTGGTAAGCCCTCCGTTCCGCTCTCTATACAGATTTTGTGACATCCTCTATTGTGCTATCGGCTATTGTTCAAGGAGCCACTATACAAGAACAACCTGTCCTTCGAGTGCTGTTTTCTTTTTCATTACGAAACAAACAAAATTAAAAAGCGACGCAGGCATTAGTTGCCAATTTACGGGAATCGAAGCGGCGACCCATCGTAAAACGAACATCAAAGCATTGGATCTGTTTATGAGCATCTGGTTTTATTTGGGGTCAAATGATTTAGATATGCTTTGCCCCGTTTGATGTCTTTAATGATGATAGTTTAACTTGGCACATATTTTTTTTGTATTTTTAACAGAATTTATACATTTTCAAACATAAATGTGTTTCCTGCCTAGCTTTCAAACGACGTTGTTATGTAAATAATTGAAAAACACCACCATTCTCATTTCAAAACAGGAGATAAACGAAAAAAAAAAATACACAAAAAAGAAGCTTGTACTGCTGGACGCTTACTTAATCTTATAAGAACCTTTTGACATTAGCGTCCAAGGCTAAATCTTCGTATCTCTGCTGCTCGGGCATCATATCTTGTCGGATGTTGTGAACGTAATATATTAACGGCTATTATTACCCTTTTAACGGTGCTCCGAGTTGACGAAATCGTCAACAAACGAACCGCTCTGTTTTAATGTTCCATTTACGCAATTCTACTTGAATTTAGCCAGGCAACGCGATCCACCTAATCCCGACCAAACATTAAACAGATGTATGTAGTTCGTTTAATGTTTAATGTGTAATTTATCAGAGATAGCAAGCTTATCATGCGTTCAAGAGACCTTCTGAACGTCGCGC